TCGTTAAACAATTTGTCACATAAAAAATGCTGATTAGTTAATTTCTACGATGATCAGTGTTTCAGAAACCGGGCGTAAGTCCGTCATTTCGTTGTTCTATTATTCTCCATTATCCATATAGGTAAGTCAAACCATAGTCTAGTCAACGTACAGCGCTATCTATTTCCTTCAAAAGCAAACTCAAAAAATGTAGATATCTGTATTACAAATGTAGATATTTGTACAGCTGACACATATATATTTATAATGGGAGTGATAAGACGGTGTATAAGAAGTTAATTAATTACCGCCACATATGCTATACCAATGAGAGCCGTGATAGCTCAGTGTCCGGGCGCTCGCCTTTAATTCAGTATACTCGAGCAACCTGAGTTCGATCCCGGTGTCGGCACCAATGAAGTTTTTAACTTTAAGTGCTGACTTATCACGTGCTCCGCGGTGAAGGAAAACATCGTGAGGAAACCTTCATATTTTCGAAATAATAATAAAAAAAAATATATATTTCGAAGATATGTGAAGTCCGCCAATCCGCAGTGGGGCCGCGTGGTGGACTATGCCCTGATACCCTCTGTATAGAGGAGGCCTTTGCCCAGCAGTGGGACATGTATAGGCTGTTACTATGCAATACCAATGCGTTAGCAACCTTTATGAGTCTCCCGTTACCTCACTCACCAGACGAAATGTAGAATTATAAATAGATCTTTTTTTTTATTACCCTTATTAACTAGTGTTATCCTGTGTTATAAATGTATTTTACATACACATTTCACGTGGACCAACACGCAGACGCGAACGATTATCGCGGATCACACAAACAGTTGTCCCGTGTGGGAATCGAACCCACGACCTCCAGCGTCGAATCAATATGATTTATAGTTATTCATCATCATCATTTCAGCCTTTTTGTTGCCACTGCTGAACATAGGCCTCCCTTGCCACTAAGTACGATCCTGGGCCACCTGTATCCATCGACTTCCCGCACATTTGCACAGGTATTAACTGATATTTTTGCTTTCAGTCCCGAGACTATTAAAGCTTCATCTGAGTTTGCACAGGTCGTCACTCCAACTAGTGGGGGGTCGTCCTACGCTGCGTGGACCTGTACGAGGCTACCACTCAAAAACCCTTCTTCCTTCCCTTCTTACTCTCAAGAACCCTTCTTCCTTCCTTTCTTACTATCAAAATAACACATCCAAAGTGCGTAGGTCCCTTGCGGCCGCGGAACTTCGTCACTTATTCTAGTCTTACAGAAGCTTCTGGTTGGTTCGAACACATTCTAAGAATAGTTTCAATTAACAACGTCCAAACTTGGCATAAAAACAAGAAATCAACATTTTAGCGTAAGCTTAACGTATTCGCACACGAGTGGATTTTTTTTGACGAAGGCATTCTTATAACGATTACTCGAACAATGTGTTGATAAGAAAGCTATACGGGCATATAGGTACTGTGCATTAACCTGTGAAATTGATTTGAAAGTGTGCACTGGAGTCACCAGTTTCAACGGATCGCTTAGCATTTTACGTGAGGCACCAAAGTCAAATGATAGTTAAGGTCATAAATTCGAATCCAGTCGGTGAGCCATATCGCAAAGGTAAAACTCCTAAGTGACATATTATTTACTTTCACTCATGGAATAACAATGACCTTCCTCCCTTCCTTTCCTAGCGCCAGAGGTTGTGGGTTCGATCCCCACTACTGGAAAAATATTGTGTGAAGAACATTGTGTTTTCTAGTGTGTGTGACAATAAATGAACACACGTCTAACGCTACTTGCCAATAATCATAAAAAATATTAACGTTAAAAAAATCCATAATAAAAAAAAATATTTTTTTCAAACAAATTAATTAAGTAAAAAAGAAACAAAATTTGTAACATCCTATACATATACAACTACATTTGACTGATTCATACATTCAGAGACTTTTCATTCGTTGCCACAGCGCCGCATTACAAGCCTCTCCTTCGAACAGTATGTTTTGTCTCTTTTAAATTCATTCAACCCATTCATATGCTTTGTGACCTTTACAAATGAACTTAACATTAAAGTTTTATACGTAAAGGTGTTCTAAAATTATTTGTTTTAGAAAATTTGATAAATCGTTAAATATTGATGTTTAAAGAATGTAAATCTTTAATACAATTTTAAAAAGTTATCCTCTATATATGTGTTCATTTATTGTCGCAATGGTAAAGACACGCTGTATATCTATAATATGTATTTATTTTACAAAATTTACTTTTTAATTTAAAAGTACGTCTAATTATGTTTCTCATTTACCTAGTACCTATAATAGTAGAAGCTTGGCAATGTACAATTAACTGTCCATATCTCAAACTTTTTAACATTTTGTATGTGACAATGTTTTTGAATCGAGGTTGCGCTTGAAATTATCAATTGTAAAAATAAAAAGGAATAATCTCTCACATGTTTTATTTCTTACGGGGTACAGGGAGGAACATTATTTTAGGTACACAAAAGGCATAACGCGCGAGGTCTGTGGTGCCAAATCAGGCGCAGTGATCTTCAACATCTAAAATTCTGAAAAACGAATAACTGGTGGCTGTGTCCATGCTCTGACATCGCCAATTTCTTTTCTATCACTTCCAGCGACTTACCCATAGAGGCTTTTCCAAATAGTAACTTAAATATTAAACTAACACATCAAGTAACTAACACAAGTAATAAAAAAAAAAAAACACTCGACTCGGGTCTCGATACATATGTAGAAGTCACTTCTATAAAAAGACTCTTTTAGATATCCGTGTCCGTTCGTTTGCTATGAGCATTCATGGAAGTTGATACAAGTGCGGCTAACATGGCCGCGATAGTATTTTGCCGACGGTACATATGTTATGGACATCGCTTACCACAAACCTTCCCTACCGATACCGTCCATTTAAGAGGACCCGCCAAAAGCCTTTTTAATCATGAATAAAATTTTGACCGAGTAAACAGAAAGGTTAGGAAATGAACCCAACAGCTAAGTCCCGATCGTTCAGCTGCGGTCGCAGTGCCACGGGGCACTGTTGAGCTATTGTAATGTGGCTTTAATGTTCGCGACACGTCGCTTAGTTAGAGAGAAGAATGGCATTAATGAACTAAAAACTATGATGACTGTGGTAGTGCCAAACAGCAGCCTCCGCTGTTGCACGAGTGGGCAGGCTCTTCCGGGTAAGTACCACGACCTCACAGAAGACCGGCGTGAAGTGGAAGTATACATATAGTATACTTTAGCTATTATCTTATTATCTATTTTAGCTATTATCTATTAGTATACTTATAGCGTTTCGTCTGGTGAGTGAGATAGCCGGAGCCCAATTTACAAAAGGTTATCAACGCATCTGCAACCCTCGGGTGTAGCCGATTTCCATGGGCGGCGGATTCATTTAACATCAGGTGAACTGCCTGGTCGCATGGCAACTTTGCACATAAAAAAAAAACTTTTGAATTCAAAATTGAAAAACTCGAACGCCCTAACCCTAACCTATCCACATTCATTTAAATAGTTAACGAGACAAAGGGTTACACAATCGGTGGGGCGAATTGGGATTGCGGGCAAATCCATGTAAGCTTATTAATAGATAACGGGCTCTTTCTTACGGACGTGGGTAATGAAGGCTTGCTATTTTAGGAATGTACCGCGCGATGTTGGCGAAATGCAAAAATAGTTTTTTTTTGTAACAAAGATATTATTCAAATACAATGGGATCGCTTTTTATAGCGACTTCTTAAGTTTCGAAGAGTTTTCAATTCTTTACTCGCGTGTAAATTTTTTTTCACAAAGTGCCGAGGGACCGGTCTGTCCCGAAATGTTTGATATTTGTACCTTATTTTGAATATGTCAACTTAAAGTTTGTATAAAGCCATAATTATTATCGCATTTCGTCCTATTGCTGGCCAAAAGGCTTTACTCTTCCGCTCTTAAAGAAAACATGTAGATTTGAAGTTTGAGTCCTAGGAATCGATACTCTAGTTTAACATTAGGTGGAACTTTTATACAAAATAAACTATTTAAATTTAAACAATATAAGATAACAAGGATGCATCGCGAATGTCAAAAAAGTGAAAATCAATTATTCAATCTATATTGTACTGCGATATTCGAAAGTGATCCGTCGGAATGCGTTTAAATCAATAGAGCACTGTGGCGCCGCGCCGATAGCATCAATAGAGCGGGAAACGATCAAAAGTAGAATGACATACATATATTCAGAAAAAAAAAAGTAGAATGACAAATATCCAGCAAAGAAACAAAAACACACTGGCAGTTTTTCATCAGCTAACAATGAAAATTGAGACGTCTATGTCCAGCCACAAAATGGGAATTCCCGAGCGCGAAAAATAAAACGTTAAGCCTAAAATACGGAGACGCATTCACGATAAGCTTCGAACCAGTAGACATTGTAGTACTGAACTTATCGCGACGAACGGGCCAGCTGTAACGTCGCGCGTAATGTAATTCTCAAATACGATATACTAGACCTTGGCGTACAGTTAAGTTTCGACAAACAAGAACAAAAAACGCCCAACAAAGCCCAACGACCGCGATGTTTGCAGCGATGTTTAGGTGCAACTACGAAATTAGAGAAAAAAAAAAAACTACAAGCAAAACGATAGATTGCAAACGCGATGGTTCTGAAGGGGTCATTGACCAATACAAAAAAGGGGTCAACGCTCCCTAATGTTACTTTATACTCAACAGATTTCGTAAAAGAATGCAATGTAACACAAAATGCAAAATATGGAGGAGTACCTGACCATATTCATGCATACTCACCTTTCCTGTTTGTATCACTGCTAGGCAGCATGGAAACAAATTGAATAAATTGTAAATAACTGATAAACAGGCGTGACCATGTCTGTATTACATAACATAGTGCCTTGCGGTACAGCACATTATTTAGAACATATAATACAATATACATATAAGTCTTATGCAATACATTTGTAAATTCATAATTTACACCCCTTTATAAGTTATAAGACACTGCTTACCTCATTCAGCCAGTCCAGTAGAATGGCTCTCATCCGCGGTTGAAGATTCGGATGATTGTCAAACATGTTAGGGTTCTTCTTCATACTGGACCTGGCGTCACATTCACACATACTTCTCCATACATCTGTGGGATCCGCCCAGGATAGCCCAGGCAAAGGACACTTTCGTTTTGGTGGTGAGGGACACTGGGGTTTACTTGTACTGCAAGTAAATTATCTCGGGTGTTAAAGGCCCTAGTTGTTCTACTTAGGATCAAGTGCACAGATCTCACACTAAGTCGTTAAAGTAAAAGGAAAGGATATAAAACCTTAGTGTTTAAGAGAGAAAGTTTAGTAAATATTTATTATTGTTCTTACCTTGGCCTCTTATTAGAGTGTGGTGTAGAGTCACCCCTGGCCACATTTTCTAAGGGGCTTAGAACATAATTAGGAAGTTCAGGTATACTTGGTGGGCTTAACAAACTATCAGGGTTATATTCTATATCTGTGTACACACTCCTCGGCTGCTCACTACATTCAAAGTGGGAGCCCTCATCATCACTTGAACATGATGATGATTCAACAACAACATGATGTGTTGGCTGGTCAATTTCTCCATCCACCAATTTTGGTGATTTCTTCACTGGTGGCATATTCTCCACCTCCTATAAAGTAATAACACAAAATGATTTGATAAGATGCTAGCAAATCTGAGAAAAGTAAATGTGACAAGTACCTCATCATCTGTTGAATTTCTCTTCCGTTTAAGGCATGTCCGCTTATCATTGGCTTCACAGGAGGCACTGCAAGCATATGTTATTAATGTAAACAATGTCTACAAAGCAGTTAGTGCCTGTGAAGTAACAGTTATACATACCCTGTTTGGGCCATTGTAGATGGGACAGATCAGCTGGCACAGGATCTACAGTGCCTGAAATTTGTTCATCATTTAATATATGATCCATACGATATGCAAAATTACTTAAAAAATAAATTAAGAGCCTAAATTACCGCATGTCATGTCGAAACCGCAAAATAGGGTTATGTCAGTTGACAATTATAATTGAAGCCGAATTTCCAAATTTGACAACGTTTTCCGAAAGTATTTAGTTAACCTAAATGATTATTTTAGGAAAATATGAAGGGAATGGTACTAAAGACCATCTTTTCGGCTCAAGATTAGACAGCGTGCCCCCTGCTGGTTGGCGGGAGATTTTTTTTCCGAAGCCTTTTTGGGGCAATTATCGGCACAAAAATTCATTATTTACTAATTTTATACTCGGACGGATACACGAACCAAACATTGAAATCATAAAAATCACAGAATTATAATGTCAGCTGGTAAAATAAATGCCACGAAACCGTCACAATCGCGCGCGAAATCCTCCGTCACCGCCATTAGACACGTCGCTAGCTTGGGTTTCTCGCCCCATCCACTTTAGGAAATTGATAAAAATAGCACATACGCGGCATACTATTAATGCAATATAAGTTATTTCTATGAATACTACTCGAAAAACCGAATCATAGGCTGTTTTATTAAGCTCTCCGTTGACCGAATGATGGGCTTAGCTTATCGCCCACCAAAGGTTTCTAACCTAATTATAGTCAGAATTCAGAAATGCACGCACCAATTTTCGCCTAATAAGATGGTTTACATTTTTAAGATGCTAAGTAATGACATAAAACATACCTGGTCATTCACAAATTATTCCAAATTCCACAGAACAAAAAATCCTTCCGAATGAGATATCAGTTCGCAATTTAGAACACAATTTCACGATATTTTCCACTTAATTCAATATCTATGTTATTACATGAATAAAAAAAGGATAAAAATATTACACTTAAGGTAATTATCTACATTTAAATGCTCCTTTTCAGCTTTCCACGGCTCGATAACGCCCGGCTTTCCGCGCGAAAATGTCGCGGTAAAACTTCTGCCCTCTAGGGGCGAGCAAACTGCTAACTTCACGTTTGTTTCTTCTGAAAACGTACGTCATTAACATAAGCATTCCGTTACACGACTAATTGATCTGTAAGGAATGACTTCTTTACATGATTTAATATGTGATAGTAAAATGTTTCTTTATGTTGCAAATTATTACAAAAAATATTTATATATTTTTCTAATATAATTAATTTTCGAAAATAATGTTATAAGATGTTATTGTGAAGAAAAACTGCCTGAAGGTATTTTTTTCTTTTTGTCTCTTAGAAATATGAAACTTATGTCACAAAACATTGAATTCGATGGCCCTATTATCAAATTCATGTAGGAGTAACAAAAATTGCAAAACTTTGAATGTTTTATATACGTATAAAGGAACATACAGTGGAAGATATTTGCTTTCTCGTGATTGGTTCAATGAGGCTATTAGCGCCATACTTTGGTGGCTTGGCAGCAAAGTATAATTTCATAAGTTGGCAGAACTGATCACAACTACATTCACTTTGATTTACAGCTGGGTGCCAGCTGATGGTATAGTTGTAAGAAAAGTCAATATAAGGCTCTTATTACCTACTTCGATCGAATAGAAATTAATACAACATAGAAGCACTCATTATCCATAAAAATCAAATTTTTATGTAAAATGACGCAACAAAATCTTGCTGTAAAACTATGTGGAGTGCTACAAGCTCAAGCCGATGAAGGTACGATGTTGTTTTTACATGACATGTTCGACTGACGACTAATAACAAAAAGAATTACATTTACAGAGATAACAGCACGAGAGTGGCGATTATTAGGGCAAGAGCAAGATGGAACTCAAGTTCTTTCTTGGGTGTCGGTAAAAAATAACAAGGAAGTCATGAACATTGGTGTCTATACCAACAGCACTAAAACTCTGTCTATATTGTATACATTTGAAGAGAAAATAAATATAATACAAGCTTCTGTGAATTCAACGCAGAGTTTATTAATTTATGTTGTAAAAATTCTACCCAAAGAAGACGAAGAGAGCCAAGAATCTTTGTATTGTCCATACCTGATTTCATTACTTCCTGATAAAATAAGTGAACCAGAGGAAATTGAGGAGTGCTCAACAAGACAAATTATGTTGCAATACATATATGGGAAGAGCAATAAATATAGCCCTGGCATTAGAAATGATAGATTTTTGTTGTTCAAACATTTAGAATGTAAGTATTTCTAGCATTTAGTCTTTTACTACAAGTGTAGTTAAAATATGATTAATGACATGTGTAGATAAACCTAATTTGGCACTGCTGGATCTGATTGTTGTATCTTTTCTTACCGTGAGGTCAATTTTTTTTCTTACTGTAGAAAGTCTAAAAACTTAATACTTGTTATGGAGGAGAAAAAGATGGCAAACCATAACTATATATTTTATTGGATATGTAAATCTGTGATAAATGAAAAGAATTCTTCAGATTAATGAACATAATTTTTCTTTAATTCACAATATTTCTGAGGATTTCTTTGTTATAGGAGCAAACCATTGCAAACAAATATACCTAATTTGAATATTGAAAACAAATTGAATTTTATTTTGTAGCTCATCATTTATTTATATTTCACAATAATACTTTCCATTAAAGTTAAAAAAAAACCTGCTGTATTTCTGCTGCTGCAAACATTGACAGTGAGGTTATTTAAGACCTACTTTTTTTGTAGGTTGGCAATGTAGCTGTATTAATTCTATCGTTGTTCAAGATAACATGAACCGCCAGCGTTAAAAAATGTAATACATGTTTGTATATTAGGTGTAATTTTTGATTAAAACAAAATTTCTTTCAAAACATTTTGTTACATGTGAGTGTGCGTGATGGCTGTGTAAACCCCAGCGTCAGCACCAATGAAATTGTTAATTTTTATATATGCTGAATTTTCACATGCTCAGCGGTGAAGGAAAACATTGAAATGTGCATATTTTTGAAATTACAAAAGAAAGCTTATTAGATATGAGAAATCCACCAATCTGCAGTTGGGCTGCGTAATGGACTATGTCGTAACATCTCTCTTCAGAGGAGGCCTTTGCCCCGGCTTTTACTTTACTTTTTCTTTTAATAACAGACATCAAGATATACCGCTCACCAATGTTCCTCAATGAGTGTGATGACGGAACCGAGAAATGGGGTTTCGACGGCATCTATCCAGAGCCAGAGACAATCGTGAAGGTGTTCTCTTGGGCCCAATGGGACTGTGTCAATCAGGTGAACACAATTCTAAGTAGTTGTTAGGTGTATGATCATGACTTTGTAGAACATACAAAAATATATGTTTATTGTATAGAGTTTTGTTATTCTATCCTTCAATTTTTACGTACAAATACGTACAGCCTTTGCGGCGTGAATAAGAAAGAGAATATTCACACCAAATTTCCAAAGCAAAATTATAAACGCCAAATCCAAATTGAGAAGCTGCATTGCTATAATAAGTGAGTTCTCTAACGGCTGCTTTCAATATTCTACTTCCGATGGGTGTTTGACCATTAGCTCCATAATACTCACGCTTAAATCCCATCTCCAGTAACAAAAACTATCCGTAGATAGAGTATTGGAACCGGCGTTAAGATGTCATTAAGCTTATCGAAATTTTTCAGGTTTTGTTCTACATCCATTATCGTCTGCCGGCGCATAGCTTCGCCGAGGGAGAGGAGGTGAAATCGCCGAGCGAAATGACGCCGACGCTCTCCGCTCTTCAGTTCCACGCCGACCTGCCCCACGAGACAGTGGTATGGGACTTATCCAATAATCCTTACTTTACAATCAAATTGAAATGGGTTCTTATATCTTTAGAGCACACCCAAAAGTGTAGCGCGCACAAAACTTGGTGGATATAATTATCCGTTGATTCTTGATTGAACATTGATTAAATTTGTTACCTGGATGGCCTCATTACCCATCTTTTTGACTTACGCTCGGTTTCTGAAACACTGATCATCTTAGAAATTAACTAATCGGCTGTCAAATGGCTTTTCAAACGTCATCAGAATGATCAAAATGATCAATTCAAAGAGTTTATCCAAACTTTTGGCACCTCAAATGACATTAGAAGAGCCATTTGACAGCTGATTAGTTAATTTCTAGTTCTACGATGATCAGTGAGTGTTACAGAAAGCGGGCGTTAGTTTCTCATTGTCTTAAACATGAACATAATGGTATTGTGTATTTGTTTTAGGTCTATATCAAAATTTTGCTTAATTAGTATGAAATATACGTCCTTACGTATCTAGTATCTTCAAAGACGAATTTTATTTAGTATAAATCATTACTAAATAAAATTCAAGTAAAATATAGGTACTTTAAAATACTTATTACCAATAATCTTTTTAATTTTATCTCGGACGTCTCTTTTTAATAAATAACCTTTATACATAAGAAGTAACACTAAATTATGTCATTTTCGTATTAAGTATACATAGATAAGTGTAGGTATAATTACAATAAATAGAACCCCCACCCTCCAACGCCTCCTATACATAAAAATGTAAACTACAGTAACATTAGTAAAACCATAGAAATTTAGATTTTTACGCTCCCCAATATGTTGTACCAGATCAATATTCAATATATTCTTCCACCACGTAAAAATGACGCGATGTCTATATTGTGTATTTTTGTTTTAGCATCACAAATTTTTATTTGAGAATCTTGCCATGAAACAATAAAACTATAGTCAAAGGTTTATATACTTACGTATATTCTATTTTATAAAAAAGATTACTATAACGACTGTTTTAGCACGAATAGGGTAATTTTTAAGTATTTTTGTATTAAAAAATTCAACATTGAAGCTCATAATTGTGGAAGCTCTCCTTAATGGTTAAATTATTCAAAAAAGACTATTTGAATATTTACAATATTTTTACCCTGCACCGTGTCGCACAACTGAAGTGAAAGTTCATTGTAATAATACTAATAATGCTCGTAACAATCTTCATATGACCTGGAGGTATAATAGTTTACTTTTTTATTATTTTATGATATAAACCCAACAATTATGTATTTCCGCTATCAGTTCACATATTGCCGTTGGATTATGGCGATTATGGCTAAAAAGAGCATCTTTAATCGCTTTCCGCGACCGCTCATCACACAACGCCACCTCGGCACTCATCGATCTGTCGCCTTACGCGCGTCGAATTACACTTGCTAATGCATTCTAGGCGAATCCGACATAACATATCAGTTATCCTATCAAATTTGCAAGATTATGGCATACGCGATGAGTTCACCTGCGTTCACTCCACGGACGGAGGTCGTCATATATAATTCATAATCCATTTATCACCGAGGATATCCCAATTTACATCAACAGTGGTGAATAGCATCTTTTTAATTCACCAATATCAACAAACAGTCTGCGTTACGTATGTAAAAGATAAGGAATTTTCTGCAAGAAAAACAAATTCGTAAAAAGACAATTCGGGACCGTATATGACGAATCAATAGGATAACAATACTTGTTGGAAAGAACACGACTTAGGGAAACTTATTTAAACCAACATAAAGAAGGACGGAAACGTTTCTAAATTCATTTTCCAACGGCCGGTGAAAAGAGACCAATTTATAACGGTAGCGGCAAATATATATTTTTGATTGCCGATCAATAGATAAGAAATGAAAAGACCACAAAGCTAACAAAAATGGTGTCCTTGGATCAGGAAACATTGTCATCGATGCTGCATGTCTTTTAAATATTGAAAAAGTAATCCGCAAAAATAAAAGCAAGAGAGTTATCCAATGCGTAACAGAGTCGAGTGGTACAACACGCTAATGTTGTATGAACAGAAACCTTTACCTTTCCTTAAGGAACATTTGTAGACAGGGCCGGATTTACGGGAGGGCAACCGGGGCTACAGCCCCGGGCTCTCCACAATAGACTTCGGAAAAAAAAAATTCAAATACAGACTATTAAACACTAGTAAACAATTTTTCCTTTAATATTTTTTTCGCATTTTACCTTTACCTGCAGTACTTTGTACAAACATGATTACATTAAATATGAGGATTGAAAGTGATTTGCTTCGCGTACTGGATTTCAGCGAAATCCTCAAGGATTTTTCGGCGAAAAAACCTTGGAATATTCCATTCGTCAACGCTAAAATTTAATTTTGGATAATTCCTGTTTCCGAATATATTTATATGTTCGTTAAATAATAAAAGAATCTATACTTGGTTTCACAATAAATTATTTATTGGAAAACTCAACTGAAAAAATTGTTCATTTTATTTGGAAAATAATTTGGGGCCAAGGGGCCTCTCCTTTCTTGCCCCGAGGCCTCCAGACCTCTAAATCCGACCCTGTTTGTAGACTTTTTCTGTACTAATAGCTGCACTGGTACACTTGATTAAATGAAACTAGTTTATGTGAACAATATTTCCATTACGTCTCTTTAAATTCTTTAGCGGCTTGCACATTCTAATGCTGAGAAAGTTTTAACATTTATTATTTTACATTAACGTATGACTTATTTTTTAGGTTAGTGTTATTATGTTATCGTATTTGCGCAGATGTATTTGCTAACGTTGTGTATTTACTGACTAAGGAATTGGTCAGTAAAATTATATTTAAAAACCGTATTCCCAGAGAAAGATTTCATCACATTAAAATAAAACTTAGACAAGCAATTTAACAGTATAACAATTACCCTTTAACACGTACGTTTATTTATTTATTTAATGTTTTTGGCCAACTTTAAATAAAAAAGATAAGCAACGGCTACCCACATTGCACATACCATAAGCCCTCAGCCTTATGGTCGACGATAATGCTAAGGGCTTATGGTCTAATAAGGTTATTCTCGCATTTAATATCGATCGGCTAATGTTTTTAATTCGATAAATTTTCATATTAACAAAGGAGGAGCGCCAGCCGTTATCAGAAATGTACTGTACTACTGTAGTAGTATAATTATTTACTAATTTTGATGAGAATCGTGGAGTTGTTTTCTAAGACAAAGCTGATCTATCCGCAGCTAAAACATTCAGTTCTCTTTTGAGAGAAAGTTGCTCTATCTCTTTGGCTAACTAGTTCGCCTTGAGCCACGATTATAGCGCCAATGCTTTAGTCCTATTTCGCAGTTCAACCATACAGTTCTTTTCTAAGAGAAAGCTGGTCTATCTCTTAGGATAAATAGTACGCCTTCAGCCACGTACATGGTGCCAATGCAGTGGCGGCGTTTCTCAGCTCTACCATACATGTGTCTTCGGTTGAACCATACAGTTCTCTTCTAAGAGGAAGTTGGCCAATCTCTTTAGCTAGCTAGTGGGCATAGCCGTTATAGCCGTTTCCGCAGTTCAACCATACAGTTGTCTTCGGTTGAACCATACAGTTCTCGTCTAAGAGTAAGTTGGCCAATCTCTTGAGCTAGCTAGTGGGCCGTCAGCCACGTATATGGTGCCAATGCTCTGGCTGCGTTCCGCAGCTGAACATCCCGCTGAGCCTGCCGCAGGCGGCGGGCGCCGGCGCGGCGTGCGGCTCCTACGAGGACGACCCGGTGCCGCTGCGCGTGCACGACTGCGGCCTCGACCTGCACATAGTGTGCGACACGCGCGGAATCCTCTGCGTCTGCCACCACTACCTCTACAAGGTGCTTGTTTAGGGCTCCCACCCTATTAGCTAAGTCGCCGCTGTCCGTTTTTTTTATATGAATTGTTCTCAAGCGAGCAGGCGGTTCACCGGATGTTAAGTGAATACCGCCGCCCATGGACATCTGCTACACCCGAGGGTTCCAGATGCGTTCAAAACCTTTTTGTAAATTGGGCTCCGGCTACCTCACCCACCAGACAAAACGCGAAAGTATTATACTTCCACTTTACGCCGATCTTCTGTGAGGTCTTCTGGCTCTACCACAGGAGTTTGTCCGTCTCGTCTGGAACCAAGCTGTATCTCGTGGACAGTGTTAGTTAGACAGTTGATATTTTCTCAGATGATGTATTTCTGTTGCCGCTAAAACAACCAATACTAAAACACAGAATAAAAAAATAGTTAAGTGGGGACTCCCATACAACAAATATGATTTTGTAGTTTTTATAGATAATGGTACGGAAGCCTTCGTGCGTGAGACCCACTCGCACTTGGATGTTTTATTTAACTTTCAACGTTTTATAGGCAGTTATGGATTTAATCCATTGGTTGCCCTTGTCACATACAGTATTGCCAGTATTGCTCTACTCGCTATAAAGCACGAAAAATTAAATGAAGTATGGGAATAAAAATGGAAAGTCGTACCTACGCACCATGGCCGCTTGATTTATTATAATTTCTATGGAATATCGTCTACGAGAAAGACGCGACTCCTAAAAAAATTCCACCAAATTTTGCCGGTCAGAAAGGAATTAAATTGTTAGGCTTTTTCTGATTCCGTTATTATTGTTAATCCACCATTTTAATCTATGCTCTCCGTCTTTTATCTTTACGAGTAGTATCCCTTGGTAGGTTAAGAATGATCAGAACGGAGTGAAATAGATTACATTGTTAGATGTCGTCAACCCACTTTCAATGCTTATAACGTTCAGAAAGTCATTGGATGATTAAAGATTTTATAAGATTTTATTTGTGAAGTATTTATTATTTATAGAGGAACGTCGTCTAGTTTAACTCTACAAATAATTGACTAACTACATTCCTTTATCAGCTATGAATACAGTTTCGGAATCAGAAAGTCCAATACCTAATTAAATGTATGACGACGCACTAGTATCAAAGAATCTTATAGTTTTTGCGTGGAAGGCATAGACACGTTTCATTCAGCCTCTAGACGACTCCACCACATCGCTGGTCCTGGAGGACAGCGCGGAGCTCAAGGAGTCGGGCGTGAACTTCGCGTATTCCGTGACCTTGCTGCATCACGGCTGCGTGGTGCACAGCGTGGTGCCTGACCTGCCCTGGAACCTCGCCAAGTCTTTGCGGCCATCGTATACTCTGTATGAAGGTGGGTTTACGGATAGATGAAGAATTTTCCTCGATACTTTCTAGAGGCTACTTTTCGATTACGATAGATGAAGAAAATTCCTTGATACTTTATTTAGACTAGTTTTTGTTTACGATAGATGAAGAAAATTCCTTGATACTTTCTTCAGACTAGTTTTTGTTTACGATAGATGAAGAAAATTCCTTGATACTTTCTTCATATTAGTTTTTGGTTACGATAGATGAAGAAAATTCCTTGATACTAACTTCAGACTGGTTTTTGTTTACGATAGATGCTGAAAATTCCTTGATACTTTCTTCAGATTAGTTTTTGTTTACGATAGATGAAAGAAATTCCTTGATACTTTCCTCAATCGTTTTCGTTTACTAGTTTTGTTTTAAACGCTACAAGTCAACCAAGAAAATTTCACTCTAAACTCCCGGTTTCTGAAACACTGATCATCGTAGAAATTAACTAATCAGCTGTCAAATGCCTTTTCAAATTTCATTTGACTTGCTAAAAGGATGGTTAAACGCTCTGAATCGATCAGAATGATCTCCATAATGTTCAGAATGTGTAACGTGTGTGAGAAACATGTTTAAATTATAAACTTTCTTCTTGTACTCTAAAATATAGCAGGAGAATGAGTTAGCTTGTTTCATTAGAGTTTTATTAAGATATAATTTTAGCTACTATTTCACGTTTCTACTATCTATTTATAGTGAATAGTTTAAAATAGTATAGAGACTGGTAGACTTTTCATTATAAAGGTAGTCTTTTACCTTGCGAGTTTATAAGTAATGGTAACCCTTGTGGTGCCGTTGCTAATCTATTGGCTTCGTCGTCGGGGCTCGATTCCCACACGGAAGAAGTATTTGTGTGACCCACAGATAATTGTTCAGATTTGATTTTCGATTCAATTTCAGGAGAGACCAAAACCGCTTACAACATGATTCACGTGTTATGCCGACTCCACCTAGGTGGGATCAGGGCGGGAGAGTAATTTTTGTTTAATTTTGTGTCATTTTACACAGACAACCATCTTCTGGTGAACATTCCAATGCTGTTCACCCATTTGATAGACATCAGTATGAGCCACGAGCCTTGCTCCCACGTGGTGATACCTATGGAGCAGACCGAGAGTGGGCCGAGCCTCGCCCCACTGCTGGGCTGGGGGCCCCATGCCATGGTGGACCTGAACACCTTGGACGTGGTCACAATGACCATAGCGGAGAAGGAGCTGGTCGCAACGTTCAAAAGTGACACCGTGATAGAAAACAAACTCGGGATTATACACTATCTGTTGCTGCATGAAGGAAACCTGGAGTTGGCTGAAGAGGTAAGGACTTTTTTTATGTGATATGGTGATATGCGAGCGGGCAAATAAGTGATAACCGCGGTTTTCAGATGCGTTGACACCTTTTAATAAAGTGGGCTCCGACTTATTCCACTTCACGCCAGTCTTCTGTGAGTTCATAGTACTTACATCAGTAATAGTACTTATCCGGATGGACCTACTTATTCGTGCAACAGTGAAGGCTGTTGCGTGGCCCTATAACAATATAAATTGTTATTTTGGGCTGTGCCTTACCACATGAAACTCAACAAAATAACAAGAAATGCTAGAAAATATAAAGGGAAATACAGAATTCGACTAAAAATTTTTTAAACTTTTTGAGATATTTTTTTACGCCACGATTTACATAAAAAAGCTTTCCTTTCGAATTAGTTCGTAAGAAACCCAGGAGTGCCTTACTTCATATTGGGTCTCATGATCAGCAGTTTAGATCTCAACATATGTAAAGTATGAATTAATATTACATCATGTAGAACTAATAAATAGTAAGACTCTTGCATGCAAAAAAGCCAAATAGAAAAAAGTATGTACGAAACTATTTCGAACAAAGTGATTAAAAATCCGACTCGTTTATTATGGCTTTCTAAGGGTACGGCTTTGTTCGATGTCAAAAGCGTTTTTTTATTTAATACCGGTTTCGAGTGCCGATCATTATGATCTTCAACCCTACCAGCTGGTGTCGTGGGCCTGCGTGAGCCAGCGCGAGTGCGCGGGCGGTGTGCAGCGCATAATGCAGGAGTACCTGGTGGGCTACACGTACGCCGCCACGAGGCGCTCGCTGCCCGCCTCGGCGCTCCCGCTCATGGCCATGCTGCCCTTCTCGCTGCACCTCAAGTTCGCCGACGTCAAGGTCATATGCTACACTCGCACGCTGATACGCGAACGCGCACCCGTACGCTGGTGAACGCACACGAGCTCACCGATGCACGTACGGTTACGATCACGCACACTTGTATTGTACACCCACGCCTTTACACTGATACACGCACACTTATACACTGATAATTATACGTACACTCCTAATCAAGAATCCAATTTAATTATTGTGTTCTCTAATCTAGACCAATACATGTGCACCGTTCCGCAGTTGTCAAGGTATTGTGGCTTCAACGTCTGGGGTCGACTTCCACACGAGACAATATATATCCCAATATATCCATATTTGTGTGACCCACAGATAGTTGTTTGTCCACGTGAAATTTATGTTTGTAAAATGTCCTTACAATACAGAGTAATGTTAATCTAATGTAAGGGTCAATGTTTCTAAAAAAAATATGGATCCTACGATATCCGTTTATTACATATATAGATATACACGGAGGAGTAATTCAAATACTTAAAAGGTGCACCAAAATAAATATCTTTAGTTTGTGGTGACTTATGACTAGTCAATTTGGCCACAGGCCGGCGATGTATCGGTGTCCGTGAGCCAGGAGAAGCTGTGGAACAGCGCGGCGGTGGTGCTGGCGCCGAGACAGCGCGTCAGCCAGTTCGCCGAGGACACTTGGACTAGGCTGTGGCGGGCGCTGACGGCCAAGCCGCGCCGCCGTCTGCAACCGCCAGACGTGCTGGATCGCCTGCGCGTCTCCCTGCACTGCTACCAGGTACCTCGGCCGTACCCACAGGTTCATCACACTGTCCTCGTCACACTTACTATATTTTTAAACTTATTTCCTTCTTTACCTCTCGCTGTCGTGATCGGCCAAATGGTCTTAAATAAATAATATAATAATTGTTGATGTCGTCTCTTATGGTGCGCAACGGGATATTTTTTGCCGTCTGTGTTTATGTAGTAAGTAAGCAAAAGTCCATATATTATACATATACGACGCTTTAAGGGCATAGTCTTCCACGAGATCCAAGAACAGATTGGCAGACTCGAAATAATTGTCTGTAATTATTTTGATGATATGGATGCCTCCTCACGATGTTTTCCTGGCTAGTATACAACATTTACTTACTGACAATTATACAATATTTACTTATAAGTTAAGCGTCTTAATAGTAGTTAAAGATTACAAGAAATGAGAAGATGCCTCTTAAGTAAGAAACAGTCCGGTCCCAATAAGCACCCTGTGAGACCCCAGCGTTGATTTGAACGCGGCGTTGCCAGCCCGAGGCGCTGTCGCGCTGCAGCACGCCGCTGTCGCCGACTGCGAGCGGCCCGATGGCGCCGCGCCGCTCCTCCTTCGCGCCGCAGGACTCGCTCCCCTTCTACGAGCTGGACGTGTGCACCGCCAGCAAACAGGAGCACATCATCGCCGCGGTAAGTACGGCTTCTTGTGATTTGAACTGAAATGTTTTCTAGTATTTAAGCTATAACACATAATACGAGGGGTGATCCAAAAGTAATGATAATCGGTTACTTCAGGTCCGCATAAAAATCCAAAAAAAATATTTTTTGCTTGCTTATATACTCACTACGTCAGCTTAAAAAAATCATATAAATAGATCACGATTTCCGGGAGATACATTCATTTGAATACGAACTGTCAAAGAGATAAAATCAACATGGAGAAAAACGAAATTAGAGCTGTCATCAAGTACCTCTGTTTGAAAAAAATGTCTTCAAAAGACATACACAGTGACTTAGTGGAAACATTGGGAGACTCTGCTCCTCCATATTCTACAGTTGCACGCTGGGAGTTTAAACTCTGCTCCACTGAAGATGAACATCGCGAAGGACGCCCATGCACGTCCCTCACTGAAGACAAAGTGAAAAAAGTCGAAGATGTTGTGTTGGCAGATCGAAGAGTGACCATCAGGCATGTAGCTGAGGTCACAGGGATCACATATGGCAGCGTTCAAAGAATCATTGCGAACGAGTTGCATATGAAAAAGGTCTCGGCGCGTTGGGTACCCAGAATGTTAACCGACGAGCAAAAGAAAAATCGAGTTGACATTTCGAGGGACAATCTCGAAAAGTTCCTAGCAGATCAAGAAAATGTTTTGTTCCGTTTTGTGACTATGGACGAGACCTGGATCCACCATTTTGATCCTGAAACGAAACAAATACTTTCGCGTTTCGTCTGGTGAGTGAGGTAGCCGGAGGAAGGTTGTCAACGCATCTGTAACTCGAGTGTCAAGCAGATGACTTGGAACCGTCCGCTCGTTTGAGCGAGCCTCCTCAACCGACGCCAAAGAAATTCAAAGTTTCAAGTTCGGCGGGAAAGGTTATGGCATCTGTTTTTTGGGACGCTCAAGGCATAATTATGGTGGAATATTTGGAAAAAGGAGCCACTATTACGGGCTCTTACTACGCAGACCAAATAAGAAGTTTACGGGAGGCCATTAAGGAAAAAAGACGCGGCAAACTGCGAGCTGGAGTGCTGTTTCACCAAGACAACGCAGTTGCGATGGCTGCCATTCAAGAAACGGGATTCAAACTGCTCGAACACCCTCCCTATTCGCCAGATCAGCTAGATCTGGCGAATAGGCCTAGTGACTTCTACCTCTTTCCTCGGCTCAAGGAACGCCTCCGAGGCAAGAAATTCGAAGACGATAGCGAAGTAATGGCCGCTGTTGAAGCGTTTTGGGAGGGTCAAGACAAAGAATTTTTTTCAAAGGGAATCCTGGGTTTAGAAAAAAGATGGACTAAATGTATTGATTTGTTAGGAGACTATGTAGAAAAATAAATTATTATTTTAACTTTAATTACCGTGTTTATTTTCATTATCATTACTTTTGGATCACCCCTCGCAACTTGCAAATTGTTGGGAAAACCGTTATAGGAATATTGTCAAGTTTAATTTAGCCTTCCCGTCATTTAAACGTCGAGTTAAAGAAAAAGTCGCGATAAAGTTTAAAGATTCTTTAATGGAACTAATACTATCCGTCTTCTGTTAGGAATTCACAAGAAGTGTATCATGGGTTACTGGAGTACTGGATTGGAGATTTAGCTAGCTGGAGGTGTGTCATACTCGTAGTGTGATTTAACACCGCAGTCGAGACGAAACTTGTTTTATGTAAACTTCATCCTAATAATTCATCCTGGAATGAATCAATAGTTATGAGACCAGCGTAAATCAATTTCATTCAACTGTCTTAGCCAGGCAGCTCTGTCGTATTTAAAACAAGTCTGGCAAGGAACGAGTTAACCGAGCCAACTTTTAGCGCTTCGCCTGTTAATTCGTTCGAACTTTAAAACGGCCTCGGAGCGGCTCGGCTGCGATAGTGTCTGAGAATCGGTTGCTACGACGCGGTGGGACAGAACTTGCGCGCGGTCAGCGTGCACCTGCTGCGCGAGCGCGGCGAGGCGGGCGAGGGGCGCGGCGGCGGCGAGGCGGCCGCGCCCGAGGGCGGCGTGCACGCCCTCGGCACGCGCTGGGCGTCCGCGCAGCTCGAGGCGGCGCGCTCGCTCTGCCGCGCCGCGACCCGCGCGGCCGCCGTGCCCGCGCACCAGCGCGGCTTTGCGCTCATGTACGCCGCTCGCGTTCCGTTTTAGTTGTTTTTTTTTTCGGTGGTTTCGGTTTTTTGTGCCAGTTTTCGTTTCGTGTGTGAGTTGTTTTTTTTTTTGCCGCAGCGCTTCTCTGTCGCGATCCATATTTCGTTTTCTTTTTTTTTTTTTCGTTCGATAGTCACGTACCAGTTTTGTTTTTGAATGTGGTTTAGTGTGTTCACACAGACATACGCCTATATTGACACAGGTAGTTCTTTTTGGGTTCATGTTGCTTGGTTTTAGTATAGACGCTCTTTGAATTTGTTTTTATGCTTATCGATTTTGGTTCATTTGGTCTGCTATTCATTCAAGGTCATTTAATATTTTGCCCAACTTTTCATTGTTTTCATTTCTATAATTTTGGCGCTTCGCATCAAGGTAAGTTGTTATGCATCCAATAAACCTCTCCACTAATCTTATCGTTGACAACGTGGTATTAATACTTTTCAAATATTATAGGTCCTTAAAAAGTGTAATCAATTAAATGCCACTATTCGTCCAATGTTCCTCTTAATTCTTCATTTCATTAACATATTTAGAAACGTCACCTTGATATAAAAAATATTTCGGACAACAGTGCACAACGAACCTTAATAAATTGCAGTGACGAAATGGACCCTACGCACGCGCTGATACTGTTCAAAATCCTCGAGCAGTACTACCTGGCCGCCGAGTCGGTCGCGTTCCCTCTGCCGCAGGGCTTCAGCTCTTTCTTCACGTACTTGGGCTACAGGACGCTGCCGTTCCACGCGTTCGTGCAGCACGTGCACCGCAACGTGTTCGAGTTGCAGATAGACGTGCTCAAAGCGATCATCACAGGTATTATGGAGAATGGAAGTCTATCCACATTATTAATGTAGCTTGGTTAAAATTTAAACCTACCCTACGCGGCTTAAAGGCAAAAAAAAATATGATTATAAAACCAAATTTTGCTGTGAAGTTTCTCAAAGTCCCTTGAAGTACACTGCTTATTGTAGGCTACATACAGCGTGTGTTCCCATTTCTTTCAGGTCGAAGGCCAAATCGCTTTCTGTCTTGCCCCCCTACATATTAATTTATAGTCCCGACAAATGTTGTCATTCGGCTTTGTAAAGATAGATATATTTCCGACGGTACATTGGCAGACTTAGAAATTGGTGAATTCGCTTTACGGGTAATATCGACATGACGCGAATTTAGAAATTGGCACCTCGCGATGTGCCATAAGAACGATTTTACTCCATCACTCATTGCATTTAGATGGCCGCGATTGGGAGGCGTGATAGCTCTTTAATAGATTTTAATTCGAAATACTCGAGCTATAGGCTGTCACTTTACTCATTGCTTACGAAGATGTGAACCGGCAACTTGTCCCACCAGGCCGGGACGACGACGATAAGCGGACGGTGAACAACAAGCTGCGGCTGGTGCAGCTGGCGGGCGAGGCGCGCGGCAGGCGGGCGCTGGGCGCGTGGCGGCACCGCGCCGCGCTGCAGCTGCGCGCCAGGGACCACGCGGCGGCGCTGCTCAGCGGCGGCCTGAGCGCCACGCACGAGCGCGCCAGGCACCGCCCGCTGCGCGACACCGGTACGGCTGCCAGGGCGGTTGGCCCCCGGGTGGCTCTTCTGAGTATCGGAGCGGCAGGTCATCGTATTTTGCCACTGTGAGACCAGAGCGGTTGGTCCCTGCGTGACTCGGTTTGTATAGTGAAGGTAGATCTTTGTGACTGGCGGTTGTTATTGAAGATGCCGGCTTGTGTCATACGGTGCCAGGCAATGCCCGCTGCGCGACACAGGTACGGCTGCCAGGGCGGTTGGCCCGCGGGTGCCTCTTTTGTGTATCGGAGCGGCGGTTCATTGTAATTGGGCAATGCAAGACCAGAACGGTTGGTCCCTGGGTGACTCGGTTTGTATAGTGAAGGTAGATCTTTGTGACTGGCGGTTGTTATTGAAGATGCCGGCTTGTGTCATGCGGTGCCAGGCACCGCCCGCTGCGCGACGCAGGTATGGCCCCCGGGTGGCTCTCTTGTGTATCGGAGCGGCGGGTCATCGTAATTGACCACTGTGAGGCATCTTGTATACGACCAGAGCGGTTGGTTCCTTAGTGACTCGGTTTTAGTATAGTGGAGGAGGATCTTTGTGACTGGCGGTTCTTAATAAAGATGCCGGCTTGTGTCATGCGGTGCCAGGCACCGCCCGCTGCGCGACACACGTACGGCTGCCAGGGTGGTTGGCCCTTCTGAGTATCGGAGCGGCGGGTCAGCGTTATTGGCCATCGTGTGACATCGTGTATATGACCAGAGCGGTTGGTCCTTGAGTGACTCGGTTTGTATAGTGGAGGTAGATCTTTGTGACTGGCCGTTGGTATTGAAGATGCTGGCTTGTGTCATGCGGTGCCAGGCACCGCCCGCTGCGCGACGCAGGTATGGCCCCTGGATATGTTAAAATGTAGTAAAGCATATTATATACTAACGCCATCTAGTGATAAAAATTGTGTACTATTTTCAATGCTGCATTGTGGGTTATTTTGAAAATAGAATCCTCTCTCTCTCTCTTTGCTTGCATCCGTCCTACTGCATGGCGTGTTTTATTAGGTTATGGGTCCAGTTTTTTTTGTTTTTTTTTATATGGAACTGACAAGCTCTTGACTGCCATCCCACCTGATTGTAAGTGGCGATTCAGCCGCGGATGGTAAGCGCGCTAGCTCAGTAAAAGCCTATTCACTCTTGCCTTGAAGACGCCTACGTTATAATCGGATGGGAAAGACCGACGCCGGCAGGTTGTTCCCTTCCTTAGCTGTACGGATGATAAATGACGATGCGAATTTCTTTGTTCTTGTGCGTGGAACGTCGACAGCAAAAGGGTGAAGCCACGCCGAACGTCTAGTTGTCCGATGATGGAAAGGGGGGGAAGGAATCAAATGGTGCAGCTCCAACGCACACTCTCCAAAATGCATCCTGTAGAAAACCGAGAGGCTGGCTACTCTGCGCCTGTGCTCAAGGCTGGTGAGATTGGTTTTAACCAAATCGCGGTCACCAATGAGCCTTTCCGCACGCCTCTCCATTGAGTCAAGCGCAGCCAGGTGGCATTTTGCAGCCCCAGCCCAGATATGGCAACAGTACTCCACACACGACCGGACTTGAGCTTTGTAAAGAGTAAGGAGCTGTCCCGGTGAGAAGTACCGTCGCACCTTTGCAAGGATGCCTAACTTCATTGCAGTTAACAACGAAAAGACTAACTTAGTAATCTCCTGAGTATCTGAGCGGCGGGTCATTGTAATTTTCCATCGTGAGGCATCTTGTATATGTCCAGAGCGGTTGTTCTCTGAGTGACTCGCTTTAGTATAGTGTAGATCTTTGTTAGTGGCGGTCGGTATTGAAGATTCCGGCTTTCACGCAGTGCACGAGCGCGCCAGGGAAAACAATGGGAGTAAAATGTTTGTTGTAAGGAAGCCCCAATTAAATATTTTTTTAGTTTTTTTTTTAGTATTTGTTGTTGTAATAGGAAATAAGTTCTCCCTACGCCGATTGTATTTTACTCTGTACTATTTACTATTCCCAAACAGCGGGCATAGCCGCTCTGCCGTCTGGAGAGCGCCTCTCGCCCCTGGACACGTTCCTCGATCTGCTGACTGCCAAGGCGAGCCTCAACGAGCTCGACTTCAACCTCATCATAGAGGCGACCCTCGCGTCGATCCAACAAGAGACTGCCGCGTAAATACGAGAGCGTGAGTTCACTCAAATCTTTTCGGCACATGCATAAACACAACGCCCATCACTATTATGCACTTAGGTGCCGGTTTCCTTACGATGTTTTTTGATGATTAACTAGCTCTTGAAGTTAACAATTTCTTTGGTGCCACCATCGGGATATAAACGGCAAATCTTAAGCTGCAATAGAACAGGAATTGGGAACAAATGAAATTTTTATTTTAAGTGCTGAATTATCACGTGCTCAGCGGTGAAGGACAACATCGTGAGGAAACGTGCATATTTTCGAAACAATAATCAATCAATCAGCCTTTTGCAGTCCACTGCTGGACATAGGCCTCCCCAAGAGTACGCCACAGAGTACGATCTTCCGCTTTCCTCATCCAGCCACTACCAGCGACCTTTCTCAGGTCATCGGTCCACCTGGCAGGGGGACGTACGATACTCCGTTTTCCGAGACGTGGTCTCCATTCGAGAACCTGTCTGCTCCAGCGCTCATCGGTTCTACGACAGATGTGGCCAGCCCACTGCCACTTCAGCTTGCTACACTTACGGACTATATCCACAACTTTGGTCCTCTGCCGGATAATTTCGTTTCGGATTTTATCCTTTAGCGAAATACCGAGCATTGATCTTTCCATAGCCCGCTAAGCGACATGTAATCGGTGGGCCAGCCTCACCGTCATGTTCCACGTCTCGGCCCCGTATGTCATGACTGGCAGGACGCACTGATTGTAGACCCTGCTTTTTAAGCATTGTGGTAGTGGCGACGAGAAGATATGACGCAGATTTCCAAATGCTGCCCAGCCCAGCTGCACTCTTCTAGCGATTTCACGCTCAAAGTTGTCTCTACCTAACTGCAATGTCTGCCCGAGGTAAACATACTCATGGACAACTTCGAGCGCTTCGCCGTTGATCGAAATCGGCTCTGGACTTATAAAGTCGTTGAACATGACCTTAGTCTTGTCCAAGTTCATCCTGAGACCGACCGATGATGAGGCAGCATCCAAGCTTTGCAGCATGATTTTCAAATCCTGCATCGATTCTGCCATTAAAATAATGTCGTCGGCAAAGCGGAGGTGGTTGAGATATTGGCCATTGATGTTGATGCCCAATCCGTTCCAGTCTAAGGTTTACAATAATACAAAAAAATATTTTGAAGATTGTGAAGTCCGTCAATCAGCAGTGGGGTCGCGTGGTAGACTATCCCCTGATACACTCTGTACAGAGTAGGCCTTTGCCCAGCAGTGGGACATGTATAGGCTGTTACTTTACTTTTTTTTACTGGAATTCAGACCTTGGATCTACTTATTTATAGAAAGCCTTAAAACTTGAGAAAAAAAAACTTTAAACTCCTAATAATTGAGTTTAAATTTATGTTGCTTATTTAATTTGTGATGATTTGGTAACATATATTTTATCTTACTCTTGTTGTTGAAAACTAACGATTTTTGTTACAGTTGTTTGGATGCATCGCGGAATCAACCTGAGGAACCATCACCAGTCGACTTTTATACATGAAGTACTGATGAAGATAGTAGTTTTAAACATCTTGTATTTAAATATAAGTATAGTGTTGTCTTTTTAATCCGATCAATGTTCTGGTGTCATTAATCTTTAATGAGTATAACTTTTAAGAAAACATTGAAAGAATATAGTTGCATTAATTTAATCAACTCAACAATTATGAAATGATTCAAGTATTTCGAAAATGTTGAAGTTTTAATTAATTTACTTTATTAATATGCATGATAGCGCGTCCGGGCGTTCACTTTCAATTCAATTTATTTGAGCAACCTGAGTTCAAATACCGATGCTAGTACAAATTGATAATTTTAAGCGCTGTCTTATCACATGCAGCAGTGAAGCAAACAAAATATTCGAAATGGTAAGAAAGTTGAAAACAAGAAAAAATATTTCGGATATATATAAATTCTGCCAATCCGCGAGGGGGGTCCCAATACCCTCAAAATCAAAATCAAATGTATTTATTCAACATAGGAGCATTACACTCACTTATTGATAGTCAAAACACTACCACCGGTTCGGAAAAGAAAGCCACTGTACTGAGAAGAACCGGCGAAAGAAACTCACCTCTGAACAGAAGAGGACTTTGCCTAGCAGCAAGACATATATAGGCTGTTACATTATTTTATTGTGAATATTCTTGATTGTGTGATTGAATACTACTTCAGTTTCATTCCATTTTTGCCTCAAGTCTAAAAAGTTGGAGAGAAAATTCCCAATTAATATTCATCTGATTATTGTTGTTGGCAATACTTAGCAATGTAATCATCGATAACATTCCTATTTGATCTCTTTTTTATTTAATTATAGGCATAAGTAGGGAATATACTGTATTTAGTTTATAACAGCACAAAGTGTAACTTGTAGACTACAAGTTGTAGTCAACATTTTATAATAATGCAAAATACTAGTATTAAGCTTTTAACATTAATTTTCATCATTACCAAATTGTTGGCAATGCTGTTTTCGATCCCACTCTTTTCAATTAAGTATTAAAAAAGAAACTCTTTTGAAGTAAAAAACATCAATATCATAATTTTCATATATTCTTACAATTATTATGATTGTATTCTAAGTTACTGTATTCATCCAGCTATGCTGCAAATATACACCATCTTATCCTGCATAGAAATTAATATTAACTAGTAATATTTGAATATAGATGTAACACCTTTAGTTATTGTTTTATGAAAGTACATCTTAAACTGTGTACAATTACATTGCAATATTTAGGCATATAAATAAAAGTTCTGTGTAAGAGAAACTATTTTATTTTAATATACCTTTAATTAACAATTTATTGTTCTCATACTTTCTGTAAAATACTACTGTTATGCGACATCCAACAAAGAAGTCTTTATGCCAGCCCTACTATATCCTGGGAAACATCAGTGGTCTAATTAACTTAATTTGATGATGTACAGAAACAATTTCTGAATTTTTGTGTAACTAACACAATTGAAGATAAATAAATTCTTCATCATTTTGAAAGGAAAGTAATTTTATATTTCCACTGATGTTTATGAACTTTTATTCAGTTATTCATATAACACAAACTGAGGGCTCAATTTTTTGCATGATGCCCATGAAGAAGGATGGAGTAGCTTTTGCCAAGAATGGCTGAAAGGCTTTGTCTACTTACGATGTAAAAAATTTGATGAACATTTTTTTATAAAAATTTCAACGGAACTGTTTTTTCGAAAAAGGTACGAAAAGATTGTCGCCGCTGTGGGAATCAAACCTACGTCGGCATTCTATGTGGAACTATTTTAGTTATGTCGTCAGTTAATATATTTCTGTACATTTTTCTTAAAAATTGGACTGAATATCGGAAAAGCCTGCTCTAGATAGAATCCTTCAAGTAAATTAAAAATAGACTTCAGTATGTGTCGCTTTGTGTAAGGCACAAATTAATTGTAAAATGGATTGTAGGTAACCCAATGTGCCCTTTGTTGGTTCTTATCATTTTGATGTGATGTAAATATTGACTTATACACTTCACTGCTTTGCGGATCCTTAGCTATACTGTAATCCTTTTTAGTCTTTTTGTATGATGGATCTTCAACTAGACCCGTTGGGAATGCACGTTTGGATGATCCAAAATGTCCTCTGGGCTGTTTGTTGGGGTTGTATTTTGGTAGAGATAATGGTATAGTGTCCATTTCCTTCTTCACTGCTTGACTGCTACCTGGCTCCTGTACAATTTCCTTTTTTATTTCTGTCCCTGAGGTGGTAGGTATAACTTCTTCTTTCGGATTTTGAGATGTCACTGTTTCTATATTGGCTGCGTCTTCTTTTTCTGGTTTCCCTGCTTTTATTTTTTTGTTTTTCCTGCTTGCCACACGAATAGCCATTTTCGCTTTCAACAGTTCATTGTCCTCCTCATTTCCGTTAAGCACAATAATGTCAGTATCAGTAAAGGGTTGTTGACACTGAAAAGAAAATGGGTTCTGAGCTTGGGAATAATAAGTAAATCTAACTTATTCAAAATGGCGAATGAAAGAGTAATTGCTAAATAACTAACTATTAGACACAACATAGTTATTTAAATTGTTTATAGTACTAATCTTTGCACTTAAGATTGAACATTAGAATATGTAGAAAAAGTGCGTAAAGATTGTCGCCGCTGTGGGAATCGAACCCACGTCTTCGGCATTCGCGGCCTGACGCTCTAGCCACTGAGCTAAACGGCTTTTTCTACATATTTTAATGTTCAATCTTAAGCGCAAAGATTAGCACTATAAACAATTTAAATTTCTGAAAAAGCAATAGCGACATCTCTCGTTCGAATTATCGTTGTAAAACGATATTCGAAGTTGTTTGTATGCTGGAAAGGATATAACAATAGATGGCGCCAAGCATTGCTTCAAATGCTAAGAAAACAATGTGGAAGAATGTGTTAAGATTTTCGTCGTTAACAACATAGTTATGTTAATTATTAGGGTTGCATTTTAATACAGAACATAAGGGCTAAAATTTATTATGGTTATTAATCTTTTCAAAATAAATGCAGAATACTTTAACAAGTATCATTGATAATTTATAAAATTGACAAAAGAACAATAGTAATGGATAACAATTCTAAAAGCCTAAAGGCCCATTTACACGATGCCATTTTCTTGAACATACAAGAGCAATAATTGAATGCAATAAATTGCGCGCAATAATTGTTTAGACCATTTGTTGTTTAGACCATGCAACTCATTTATTGCTTCAATTTAATTGTATACAACAGGCAAGAAACTGGCATCATGTAAATGGGCCTTAAGTCTTGGGCTTTCTTAAAGTTACAATTAAAAATATAATGATGTAGTAAACAGCCCATCAATAATGAAGTACACAGCTCATATTGAAAGGTTCCTAGTGGATGCAGGACTGTGGCAGGTGGCTTTGTGACAGTCCATGGGGGAGGTCTATTTTCAACAATGGACTTGTACAGGCTGAAATGATGATGATGAAATATATACTTACTAAATGACAGATGTTTTGTTTGACTTCTTTCAAGGCTCGTTCAGCCAGCACACATCCACAGCTCCAAAGGAATATAAAGCGGAATTTTCCAGTCATCTCGAGACCACTAATAGGGCAGATGTAAGGTGCACTTCCATCACCTACTGCACCATCAGTATGTTCTGCATCCGTGAATGCGGGATTCTTTGTAAGCTTTAAATCCTTGATATCCTGAAATGATAAATAAAGTTTCTGTTTTTTTTGGACGGATTTCAAACAAAAACAGTTACTTTCTACAAATTGGCAACAATTGCACTAAAATTTCTCATTGCCATATTCAAAATTTTCACGTTTTGGTGGGTTCTACAGACAAAAAAAATACATGAACACAATTTAAAAAGCACATCTGTATAGATAAGAAATGCAAGATAAATTATAAAATTACAAGTTATGAAATTCTAAAAGAAGTATAAAGCAAGTGTTTTTGTTTAAGACTTAATTAGGTATTTCTACTTATCTGAAAGGTTTTTAACCCCTTAAAAAATATCTAATAAAAATATCCACATAATGGCTGCTCCATTATCCCCTTAAAACATTTCAGTAAGGCTCTAAGTATTAAATGATTACTGCCACTCATGTCACATCTACAACACCATAAGTGACAGATGAGTTGTACTACATTGTTCTACTATCCACTACTGATTTTATACTTTATACTGATAGTATGCAACATTGATCTTTCTCGAAAATTTAATAATATAAGACTAGCCATCGTAATATTTCTTATTCACATGGCATGATATTAATGAAATTAACAATGTGCTAATGGCAGTGGCAACAGTGCAAACATGGATTTATACATGTAGAAGATTTAAAGGGATTGTGGAAACTGAATATGCAACATTTCTTAGGAGATTAAGAAGTTAATCTCACATATACAGTGTTGTTACAACCGTGACAAAAAAAGAAAACACATATAGAGGATAACTTTTTAAAATTGTATTAAGCATTTACATTTTTTAAACACCAAAATTACAGAGTTATTAAATTATACAAAACAAACATTTTTAGAACACTCTCACGTATAAAACTGTAACGTAAAGTTCATTTGTAAAGGTCACTAAGCATATGAATGGCTTGAATAAATTTAACAGAGATAAAACATACTGTTAGGAGAGACTTGTAATGCGATGTTGTGGCAACAAATAAAAAAGTCTCTGAATGTATGAATGAATCAGTTGTAGTTGTATAGGATGTTACAAATTTTGTTTCTTTTTTATTTAATTAGTTTGTTTCAAAAATAAATTTTTTAAATTGTGGATTTTTTTTATGTTTTATATTTTTTTATGATTATTGGCAAGTAGCGTTAGACGCGTGTTCATTTATTGTCACGGTTGTACCGCGAACGCAGGTGTCGTCACTGTGATGCTGCTTAAAACATCTGACACAGATGAAAAAGGCCTGTATGTATGTAACGACACGCTGTATAACATAGCACTATAAGAAAAAAAAAGTGTATCACATGACCTTACATAAACATAACTCATAACCATAACTTTGATCCTTGAACCCATGGTTAATGTCGCTGCGTTAATATCATTGACACCATGGAAGAAAAATGACACTCGACTTCCCTTACCTTCATGTTCTTAATATGACTTATACATTCAGGTTTAGTTTCCTTATCTAGAAGTGACTCCAAAACTGAACTCTTTGTGTACAGTCGACCCAAACCACAAGCGACTATCGGTTGTTGCAACGGTTGTTGTGTCAAGGCGCAATTACGCCATTTGAATGCACGCTCAGCATCTTTATCTTTCTATAAAATAAAAGAATTTGTTTAGAAAACATTACAACCATTGAACTTATAAACTTAACTATCTCCATACCTGCTCCGGTTTCTTTTTCATTCGTACGAGTTCATCTCTACGTGGAATTGTGCCACCATCGCAACCCATTTTATTAATAAATTTTGGTAAATGTAAATAAACAATAATATAGGTAATAATTCTAGATACAAAGTTTGCTGATGGCAAGGCAAGTTGACAAATAGAAATAACAGATCAATTTCAGATACACAAAAGTACTCTTTGCTAACAGAAACAGCTCACAAGCTGTTGTCAATGTCATTAACTCATAAATCAATAGCTTTTCTTTGAGCCTTCAGCAGGACAACAGTAAAGTTATAAAGTAATACTACGGAAACATAGATTAAAAATCATAGTTAAAACAGCAGTAAGAACAAACGCGTGAGAGTAGTAGTGTTACCAACAATAGAAAATATTTGACCCTTGACCCTCTAATAAAATATTATTATTAAAAATATCATAAGTAATAAATAGCGCTAAGAATTTTTCCCTGATTTCCAAATGAATGGTATATATACAGTGAAGGATATTGCAGCGAAAACAGTGCCCGACCGTCTCGTATGCATAATACGAGACTTCCTGAGTAATCGGACCTTTCGCTATCGCATTCGTCAACGCATCCCGTTCGAGCCGGGGTGCCCCAAGGGTCAGTGTTGGGCCCAGTCCTATTTACGATCTACACCAACGACATACCGCGTTTCAAAGATGTAGAATTTGTCCTCTTTGCTGACGACACCTGTCTCTATACTACAGGCAGAACACCCGAAACGATCCATCGACGCCTTCAAACCGCAGCCATCACCATCGGTGACTGGTTTCGGCACTGGAGGATCGAGATCAATCCCGCTAAAAGCGCGGCCGTCCTTTTCTCACATAAAAATTTAACTAACCCACCACCTCCCGTTAAGCTCATGGATAGTCCGGTACCATGGGTGAAGAAAGTCAAATACTTAGGTGTCGTCCTCGGCTCCCAACTTAAATTCAACCAGCACGTGACTCGGGTCAGGAACCGGGCGGCCTTCGTACTCAGCCGCCTCCATCCGCTCCTCAACAAAAATTAAAAAATGTCGTTACCATCGCGACAATAAATGAACACGCATATAGGGGATAACTTTTTAAAGTTGTATTAAACATTTAAGTTCTTTAAACATTAATATTTACACAGTTATTAAATTTTCCAAAAGAAATAATTTTAGAACACCCTTACCTATAAAAGCGTAACGTAAAGTTCATTTGTAAAGGTCACAAAGCATATGAATGGGTTGAATGAATTTAAAAGAGACAAAACACACTGTTAGAAGGAGAGGCTTGTAATGCGACGCTGTGGCGCGAGTTGTATAGGATGTTACAAATTTTGTTTCTTTTTTACTTAATTACTTTGTTTGAAAAATATATTTTTTTAATTATGGGTTTTGTTTAACGTTAATATTTTTTTATGATTATTGGCAAGTAGCGTTAGACGTGTGTTCATTTATTGTCGCGATGGTAACGACACGCTGTATAAGGCAGTAGTTCGCCCTATTATGACATACGCGAGTCCGGTTTTCGTACATATCGCCCCGAAACAAATACACCGTCTTCAGGTCATCCAAAATCGGTTCATGTGCAGAGCCACGGGAGCACTCTGGTTCATGCGCAATATCGACCTACATGTCGATTTAGAGTTGCCCACCATCGCTCAATTCCTGAAGTCGGCGTCGCGCCGATACTTTGATTCCGCCGCCGCGCACCCCAACCCGTTAATCGTAGGAGCCGCCTCCTACAGACCCACGTCGCTAGGTACGTTCCGCCGCACTCACCGTAGACCGCGACACGTTCTCGACCTCCCTGACGATGAGACGACTATCGCCATCGAAAGGATCAATAAATTACGTAAACACACCAACACACACCGCACTCGCCGGCGAGTGCGGCAAACATATACTAGGTTCCGCCACGTACCTGGCAGGTTCTCCCCTATTAATGATAGAAGCGTTGCTGGAGTTTCTTCCGCCACTTCTTCTCCAGCGCCAACGCTTTACGAAGTGGTAGTAACGATATCTCTAGAGATCCCCCAGTCAGTTAACAGCTACCGATCGAGCCGAGGTCCGGCCCTCTCGGGCACCCTCGAATCGGAATGCTAAACGCGTGCTGAGTGACAGCCCAAGCCTAGGTCCCCTCTCGGGGACCCTTGAGCCTGATCACTCCATGGAGCGTCCGCCAAAGCGCCCTAAGAGCCTGGCGGCCTCCCAAACCGGTGAAACTAATAGCGTGACGGCCCGAGCCGAGGTTCCTTCGGGAGCCCTCGAGCTTAGTCACCATAACGCGTAATAATAAATACGCGAGGTTCAGGCTAGGTGCCTCGAGCGCCCGGCCCCGTCAAGTCCGTCGGTTCTGTAAAGGCCCCTAAGGCCAACAGTGGCTCATCCAGCCAAAAAAAAAAAAAAATGCAGCGAAAATAGTCTTATAAACAGTGTTTAAAGAAAGGTTGTAGGGAATTAAATTTTATAAAAAATGTCTCTTTTACCAATATTTTTACCGTTATTCCAAAAATGAGATTCATAATAAATAATATGAAATTTTAAATACATTTGGCGCTTTCTTTAAAATTTATCCAGCCCTATTGAATTCGTTTTGACGGACACTTTAATACTGAAACTCCTTTTTTCTACACTCCATATTTCACCTCCTCATGCTTAGAATTGAATTATGCTTATTGAAACCGTACTAGATGTCGTTACGCCGCTATGTCAGCAAATAAATATCCGGGGTCGCAGAAGATTGCGTCTACGTGTTCCCGTGTCCCCGGCTGATGCGACAGAGACAGGTGCACTATGGGTCTTTTAATAGGTATCTGTTTCTGACTGGGACTCCCACAAGGGTAGTCGACTGGCAAGGGATCCATAAATAATTTTTCCCACGAATATGGAGTGTAAAGAAAAGTAGTAGAGTGGTGGTAGGGCCACGCAGCAGCCTCGGCTGTTGCAGTAATGGGTAAATTCGTCCGGGTAAGTACCACGACCACACAGAAGACCGGCATAAAGTGAGTGAGGTAGCCGGAGCCCAATTTTCAAAAGGTTGTCAACGCATCTGAAAACACTCGGGTGTAGCAGATGTCCATGGGAGGTGGTATTCACTTAACATCAGGTGAACCACCTGCCCGCTTGGCAACTTTTGACATAAAAAAAAAGATTGCGTTACTCTAGGTCCTTTATTTTTATTTTTCTTAATTAAAAAAATGTTAAATAAATTTTGGGAAAAAACATAGGAAGTAAAAAAATCCCTAAAACTATAACGCTTCTAAAAATCCCAAAATGTTTGTTTACCCCCTTAAATTGGGGGGAAAGCCCTAAGTTAGCAACCCTATTCTGTAGTTAAAGACTAAACAAGTATCTACGAAAAAAGTAAAAAACACAATCCCTAAAAATTACACCAAAGTAAAAACGATATGGATACTGATTTTTACGGCTGTCTCTTTTGCTGGGTTGAAAAAATTCAGGAAGCTTAAACCCAATACTCCATTAGAACCACGGAATAGAGAAAACAGTGGAAGTGGTTTTCACAGTCTTTACCAATATCAGCCCAGATATATCGAAAAAAATTTTGATATATCGATCAAATTTTCGGTTTTAAATAAAAGTATTTAGTGCAGTTTGATTCAATGTAATAGTAATTTTTATACCAAGTCCACAATCTTTTAATGTATAAGAAATCTTAATAAAACGAAGGTATGTTAATCATTAATTATTTATTAATTATAATCAGCCCTGTGGTACCGGCGTAAGAGTAAGCCACCCCACCCCATCTTATCCCGTGGGTGTCGTAAGTTTTAATGAAAAATAAAAGTAATAAAAAAACATGTAACTTTGTACAAAAAAACAAAGAATTGTTTAGAACGAAGTTAATAACGGGTCAAAAATGAACCCGCATAGACTTGTCTTAAAAGACACGCCATGATGAGCAAAATTTAGTAACAGTTATTTGATTGACATGAAACTGCTGAACCACAATTTTAAAAAGTTACTGGCTTGATAGCTTTTATGACGTCAAATAATTTTTTTTAGGAGAACTTGGTATTGACATTTGAGATTTTGATTATAATTATTTTGTTAACTTTATTTAAATATTAAAGTAAAGTTACTTTAGTTGATACCACTAATATTTCGCATGCTATTTATAAATTTACTCCATGTACTTCAATATTAATGATTTGTAACACTTCTATACCATTGTTATGAACGCAACCGTTCATAGCCAAAAACGGAACGTGTTCACCGGAAACAACCGCGGGACAGGATCTACCGAGACAACAATATACGGGGCAGAGAGACGCAACTTTTTTGTTTAAAATTGTAACGGACTGCACACTACTTACATTGCTTATACATAAAGATTTTGTAGCAAAAGAACATTTTCATCTTCTGAACATCCCAGAAGAAACCACTGGTAGTTCGAGCCGGATTAAACCCGCGATAGAAGGTACAGTAGCATTAACCGTGGGCACATCTTCAATACAGCATATTCAGTCTACCATATTGCTGGTAGCTATGGTGCGAGTCGAAGATGTGCATGGTAAGCTGCCCGCAGCAAGGGTAATTCTCGACAATGGAAGTGCATCGAACTTCATGACCCACCGGCTTTGATATTTGAAGTCGGTTTTGTTTATCGTCAATAAAAATGGATTTGTATTCAAGAATATACAGATTCAGATCATAAGACCCTTAATCAACACACTTGTCAACATACGTGTACCTCGCCGTAATTTTTTTTTACCGCATCATAGTTTTATGTATAAATCAAACACAACCAAACTACGCGTAGTATTTGATGATTCCTCCACGAATGCGGCTAAAAAAAAATCATTTAATGACATTCAAATGGTAGGGACCACTTTACAAGATGACTTTCTTTCAATCTTATTACGTTTCAGGCAACATAACATAAAAGTTTCAGCCAATATTTAATAAATGTACAGGGATATTCACGTGGAACCCTCACAGAGGTCTCTGCAACAAATAATTTTCCGTATTCATCGCTTTCAATCTCAACCTTTACAGACCTAT